AATAAAATAAAAATAAGTAATACCAATAGAGTAAAAATTCATTGTCCCTTGATCAAGTAATGAGTGTATTCAAGTTTTGTTATTTTCAGTTTTTCTTTTTTTATCTTTAAATCACATGTATTATAAAATATCTTTTTCTGACAAAAATAATTTTAATATTAAAATCCCTAAATTTATCAGATAAATAGAACACGTACTTAAATATTTTATTTATAATTCATAATAACTTTTAGAAAAATTTTAAAAATATAATGTATGTATCTTTTTATTTGTTATAATTTAATTTTTATACAAATATTTATTATATTTGTTATATAAATTAATTTAATTTATATTTTTAATTAATTAATAATAAATAAAACTGCATCTATCATGTTTTTAAGTTTTTCTAAAAGTTATTAATTATAATTGATTATAATTATATGAATTAATTATATAATAATTACCTATAAGCTCTCTTCTCTTTGATTTAGTAATATTAATTTATAATGAAACACAATTGTTTTTTAAAGTGTTTTTAAAATGTTTATAAATATAAGTCTGTATAATTTTTGTAATATTAAATTTTGTATATATAAATATGTTTAATAAGTAAATGTTTTTATTACTGTGCAAAAGTATAACTTTGTATCCAAACTATGATGTTTTCACATCACGTGCGACTAATCGTTTATTCTCTTTATATACACGCAATATTATTCAAATGAATGTGTATAAAAAAAAAATCAATTGATACGAAGCAATGTCTTTAAATAATTTCATTATCATAACATAGCTTCTAATATCTAATATCTAATATTAGATTCAAGGTTAGAATTATATTACTATAATCAGAATCTTATGCAATTATAAGAAAATTTGCATTTGTGTATGTACATACTACAAACATGTGCAACACGACTATATGTTATTTATATTTATAATTATTACGAATGTTTGTACGCGTTACAATGTTCATATATAAATTCATACATTAAAAAATATTTATTTAAATATTCGTTTAAAAGATACTTAAACGTGATTGTCATTTTGAAGGAAAATGTAACGGTGCAATAATGATCAAATTCGTGACGTCGCATTTAACAGGAATAAATATTCAAAATATAACATAACATAATATTATAAATGATCTATAATATCAAAGTTTACTTATGATATATATACAACTGTTTTTTTTTAGATTTTTAATAGGCACTTATATGACTAAGACTCCATATTCCTTTAAACATCTGTGCATGTTTTAGTGATTGGAACAAATTTTAGACGAAGTAGTTGAGAAGGACGAATCATCATTTCAGCCTTAAATTGAATGTCTTTTAAATATTCTATGAGTTGCAAGTTGAATTTGTATATCAAAGGAATGCCAATAGTTAGATAATCAAGTGGACCTGATATACGATTGAGATAAGTTTCTCGTCCATAGTGCACATAAAAATTATATGCCAATAGAATAAAAATAAGTGATACCAATAGTACAGTAAAATTCGCTCATTATCCCTTGATCAAGTAATGAGCGTATTCAAGTTTTGTTATTTTCAATTGCTCCTTTTTTGTCATTAAATCATATGTATCATAACATATTCTTTTTTGACGAAAATAATTTTAATATTAAAATCTCTAAATTTAACTGATAAATAAAAAACGTGCACTTAAAAATGTTATAATTCGTAATAATTTTTAGAGAAATTTAAAAAATTTAATGTATGTATTTTTTTATTATAATTTATATTTATTACATATTTGTTATATAAATTAATTATAATAAATACAAAGATTGTATCTATCATATTTTTAAATTTCCCTAAAAATTATTATGAATTAATTATATAATAATTAAACCTTTTATTTGTCTTCTCTTTGATTTTATAACATTAGTTTATAATATAATACAATTATTTTTTAAAATGTTTTGAAAACGTTTTTGAATACAAGTCTGTATAATTTCTATTAAATTTTATATAAATAATAAATAATATTAAATTTAAAATTTTAATTATAAAAATATTAAATTTTATATATACAAATACTTTGAATAAGTAAATGTCTTTATCACTGTGCAAAAATAACTTTGTGTCAAACCGACATTTTTATACAATAAGTAACTAACTGTTTATTCATTTTATTTATATGCAAAGTTATAAACGTTGAAATGTAGCGACATCTCTAAAATTATCTCAAAGTTTTTAATGATATAAGGCTAAACTAATACGCTTGAAATTGATTACATAAATCAGAATGGATGTTAGAAAAGATGGTTTATAAGAAAATTGCATATATAACACGTGTACGTTACATAATCTAAAAAAATATGATTACGTGATTATGTGAAAAAATATGCTATTTTATGTGCAATATATGCTTATTAATATGTACAATATTTATAACTGATACAAACTATTTCAACGTGTTATAGAAGCAGTTCATACATAAAAGGAATACTTATTTAAATATTCGTTTAAAAGTTATTTATTAAATGTGATTGAATGAAGATGTAGCGATGTAACAATGATCGAATTTGTGACGTCGCATTTAACGCCTAATAGGAATAAATATTCAGAAACATAATAAAATTTATACCGTTCAAAATTTGTCTATATGCCTTGCAGTAAATTAATTATCATTAGAAATTTCGACCATTAGATTGCTCATTAGAAAAGTCTTATAATTCTTTAAGAAAATGTTATCTTTATCAAGAAAGAAATGATTAGCAAGATCATTTAGTTTTATACAGTGAATAAAATTGTTGAAACTTTAAAAGAAAATTATTTTTTATTATCACGATCTATTTGCACATCTATTTACACAATATCAATCTCGACGCAATAAGTTTATTGTTATGAGAATAAGATTTTCAGTCGTCGTTAATATAAAAAGTATTATTAATATTTTGAAAAACATAATTAAAATATTATGGATTGCATTGGAATTTTATTTTAACAATTTATTAAATAATAATTTTATTTTAAATATAGGAATAAAGTCTCTGATACTAACTCTTAAATTACTAATCCAATATTAATTAGTTAAATTTTATATGTAAAATATGTTATTAGATTATTTTTTATAAAAAATTATATAATTGTACAATTTGTATAAATTGTATAATTTATTATTTGTATAATTAATGAATCATTTGTTTAGAATCAGGATTGTGTTTTCTCATTTTTTTCTTTATACATAAGTTATATAAAGTCATATAAAGTTTATATGAATTTTTAAATATATATAGGCAATCAGAACACATGGTCATGTTTTACAAGCAATTTATTAGTTAAATAATATACAAATAATTTTGTTAAAAGATTCTTAAATTATCGAATCTTAATAGTTAAACTGATTAAGATTTTAGCAAATTTAATTGAATCATATAACGAAAACATTTTAATCCTTTTTTTTAAAAAGGGATATTACAATGTAAAATCTAAATTAGTAAATTAATTAGTAAATTAGTAAATTAATATTTAAAGAAGTGTCATTCTCTTCTCAGAGAAGCTATCAATTTCTGATCTAAGACAATGTTACTGATGATTGCAGTTAAATGACCATTATTACATTAGTAATCGAATTTAACCGGCAAAAAGAATTGAACATAAGACACATGTACAATGTTATTATAATAACTATGATTATTATAAATGGCTAGTACGAATAAAAGAAGAGCTCATATATACAAGAAATTTTATTCAAATGTTCATTTAAATCTGATATTTATTAAATCTGATTCTCATCTTGAACGAAGATATGCTGTAGCAATGCAAAAATGATTGAATTTATGATTCGTGTTTAGTTTAATAGTAAAATATAGTTTAATAAAAATAAACATTCGCATTTAATGTGAATAAATCCACAAAAGATTTCTGAAAAAAATGTTTAAATAAATTTATATTATTTATCAAAATTTATCTTTATGTCATCATTTCATTATGATATTATCAGAAATTATGATACATGAATGAAATGTGTTGTATTTATTTATAAAACAATTATTAGCCATATCTATTACTAATCACACTATTATGTATATATATATATATCATTTTGCATGACTTTTTACATGACTTTATTATATACAAGTACATTATGCATACGGTTATAATATAGAATAAATAACCAATCAGAGACTATTGATAAGAAATATTATTATTTATTAACAAAAAATTAATGATAATTATATGTTATAAACCTAGCTTGACTTCAATGAGAAGCATATAGTTAAGAATTGATAAGAAAATATATTGTAATTGCTGAGATCTTTGATAACACTCGATTGACTTGGTGAAACGTATATTTCCTCTGTTTTTTGCCAACCTTCGGTTGCCAACCAGTTAGGAGTAAATTATTTTTTTTATTTTAGTTGATTTTAATAGTTTATTATATATTATTATCTTATAAGAACATTGTTATTATTTTTGATACTATATTTAATTTTAAATTGATGTCTTCATTTTTAAAACAATTATCTTATTTTTAATAATCTACTTATATGTAATCAAAATTTTATTTATTTTTGAAAGTAGACACAAAATTTTAATATTATAGTTAAATTTTAATATTATATTTGATTATAAATATATTTTACTTGGGACATGTATATTATTTTTTGCATATGCAATTAAATTTTATGTACAATATATGACATAAATAATCAAACGAGAAATTATTAACTTTTGTAATTTTCAATCTTTGTTTATAAGTAAGTAAATAAAGATTGACGTTTATGTGCTTTTTTTATGCAAATGTATTATCGCTGCATTTATTGCAATTAATTTATTGCGATAAACAGACCATGTTATCAACGTGCAAGGTATACATTTTTGCTCCAAGCCCAATAATTGTCATAATTTATGTGGGAGGATAATAAAAAGATTTTAATCGATCAAGATATTTGCTTATCGAATTGCTAGAACCGCTACATTGTAAGTTTGCTAAAAATAGTGGCACGTGGTTGGTAATAAAAATTGTTTGAATTTATTTCATATATAGAAATTTAACGACAAAGATTCTGCTTGCCGAGGAATTGGATATAATTCTCTTGTTTATTATAGAGATTTTACAAGTTGAAGCGCACAACGATCGAATGTGCTACAAAGGAAGTGCAAATAAAAAGATTAAGACAAAAAATTATATAAGATAAAAGACAGCATGAACATATTATTACAGAGCGCATCTACGCCATTTATCCAGGGCGCTGAAAATATGACGAAAAACTTTTCACAACAAATTAAGAAATACAATTTTAATATAATTGATATTTGATGGATAGATGAATTCTCATAGCTTATGTTTCATATTCTTCCACTCGCAGCGCTGTTCTCCTTTACGAGTAAATTCCATTCGAGATTCAATATCAATATTTAAATAATCATATACATCTCCGTGTTTTAATGGTGTCCACTTAACCGGAGTTAAATTCGTAATAGAAGGCGTTGGATCTCTGAAATAAATCAATAATTACTTATTAATAAACAATTGTAACAATGGAAAAATATTAAACTTATCATACCCTGTTTTAGCAAAATTTGCCCACATCTGCGTTATATGATTTATCACTTTGTAATCGTCCGAATCAGGAGCAGGTGGTGGCAAACCAAAATCCTTCATTATGTAAGGATGAAATAAGTAAAATAAGTCTTCGCCATGAGCTACTCCTGCAAAATATTATCATACAATAGATTAAAAACACGAATTGAATTTTTATTAATATTTAATAATTTATAAATACTACAAACAAATTTATTTGTTTTAAGGAAAATATTTTTTAACGTCTGCAATTTAATTTAATTTCTTATATATATATATATCTTATATAATTTTTTATTTCATATGTCGAAATTTAAAGATATCGCACTGTTTTAAAATATAGTTTACTCGTATTTTTTAGAAAATTAGAGTTTAGAGAAAAGTAAAGAAAGATTCTTGTTTTTTTTTTTTTTTTTTTTAAATTAAATTACCTGGAAGCGTAACGTCCATTATTTTTTTTGCGAGGTAAGTTTTACTATCATATGAGAATTTATATAGATATGTTGGTGTATTACCACCAACAGCCATTTGAATATCGGCTACTTCCATGGTACCCCGATAGAACATTGCATCGCCAAGAAAATCAGCATAATTCATTAAAGTTTCTTCTGATATTGCTTTGTTACCAAAATACAAAAATCGTAATTCTTCAGCTGTGATCGGTATCTTTGGCAATATTGATGAAATTCTGGGCATTATAGTTTTCGTGAAATCGGAATCGATTTTTTTAAGAGCTTTCTTGCTTATTGCTGAAACGATTTTAAGAATTTTATTACTATTAATAATTATTTGTTTATTATTTTTATTATAAAATATTGTCAAGCAGATAACGTTTTTATATAGAAAAACATATTTGTTTAGAAATAATTTATTTTACAATGTTTTCTAAAGAGAAAAATTTGTTCTCAATATTATATGATTTTGAATATGTTAAGAAAATATACGATAATATTAAATAATACTATACATTAAAGTAAACTATTACGGGTTTAACTACTATCGTGATGAATGTTTAAAGCGCATATTGAAAATAATATTATTTATAAAAAAGTTTAATATGTAACTTTAAAAATCATACGCTAATAAAAAAATCCTAATTTGTTAATATTTTGTAAATATATTTATAGCATTAAAAAATTATTTTAAAAAATTATTAAAAAAATATTTTTTAATGCTGATAGTGCGTACACATACAGACATAGCAAAGTGCATTGTATGAAAATTCATGTACTAACATTCAGTTCTACCAAGTTTATTAATTTTAATCTGTTTAATTTACTCTTCAGCTTTTTTTAATATTTAGAACTAAGAAAAGATAGTTAAAGTTAATTTACATTGGTAAAAATAACTATAAAAAAACTAGAAATTTGTTTAGTGAACGCACATGCTAATGAAACATGTAACTTACGTCCGAAAAGATTACTGCTTATAAGAAAAGAGCCTTCACAATTGGTATTGCCGAAAAGGAATGGCACTTTAATTCCGCGGCGCATTAATGTGCATGGATGTTCTGGAAAGAATGGATTTTGTGATTCGTAATCTACAGTGGGCGTAAATATTATATTATGTTGCAGACGGTCCTGCAAAAATATATTATTGATGAAAATAGTTTATATAATGTATCCATATAAAAATTGTGATTATATTGAAAAATGTGATTATTAAAAATTGTAATTATATAATCCAAAATATTGAGTTACTTACCGTTTCCGTGATAAGAGACTTTGAAGCTTTTAGGAGTTTTTTTGCATCAATTGTTTTGAGAAACTCGTAGGCGACTTTCGGATCTGAGGTCGTCTTTCCAAGTTTCTCAGCAAGTTGAAAACCTTTGTTCATTGCTTTGTTCGTATATTCGGTTAAAGTCCAAGGATTCGCGACCACACCGCTTTGTGATATCGCCTTATGAAATAAACCTTATAAAATGTGATTGAATTAGTTTAATATATTAAATTGATTTTGATTAAAAGAAATACTTTATTTAAATTTACATTTTGGGACATTAAATGAAAATTTGTATGAAATGTGCTTTACTTGGATTTGACTGAGAGCTATTCGTTATCTATTTGGTTGGGGAAAGTAAAAATAAGAGAGAGAATGTGAGAAAACAGAAAAGAAATACATGAAGAATGAAATACGGAAAATTGTTTATCTTTTATCTCAAAATGTATTGAATGCTTGAGAAAAAAATCAAATTTAAATTGGCCAATAAATTTATAACTAAAAGAAATGATAATAAAAATTCTGTATTGTTGTGTATCAATTTGTAAATTATACCTTTGCTTAATGGAGATAGAGTTAAATAATGTACGATGACTCCACCAGCGCTTTCGCCAAAGATAGTGACGTTTTTCTGAATCTCCACCGAATCTTGATATATTTCTCTGAACCCATCGTAATGCCATAACCACATCCTTTAAAGCTTGATTACCCGTTGCCACCTTGTCTTTTAAATTCAGAAAACCTGAAGAATCATTTATGCATTTTATTCGCAAACTTGATTAATCAATATCAGAAGTGCGTAATTAATTTATTTTAATAATAAAACTCACTAATACTAATATATATGTAATATTTCTTCTATGTAGTTTTTTTAAATGACGTAAAGATAATAATATTAATACAAGACAAATAACTCTAATTATACAAGATGTCCCGAAATTAAACTAATGTCAAGGAAGTGTGTAAAGGATTAAAAAAGACTAAAATAAAAAATCTTTTAGAAATTTATTCATTTTTGCTTATTTTGAAGAAAATCACAAAAAATAAAAAAATTAAAATTTTTTCTGAATTTTTAAAATATTCTTTACTCAAAAGAAGTCCAATTTTTACTCGAAAATTCTCATTTTTCACTTATTTATTTATACATGTATTTATTTTTTGTTAAATACATTTATTAATATATTGTTAATACATTTATTTGTATTATTTCCTTAATGAAAATATTGTTCAAAATGTTGATTTTTGCAAAATGTTGATCATTATGACAGAGATTTTCGAGTTTGGCTGGATATAAATTATCCACGACGATGAATTGGACATGCAGGAGCAGTAGGAGCTTTGCCATTCCTATTATTCGATCTGACGCCGAAATGGATTTCTTCGTATGTAGGGAAGCGCTGAAGCAAGAAGTTTATTCGTTGCCATTCAACTCAAGAGAGCAAATCGTGAGAGACCGAATCGTGACTGCAGTATGTCGAATATCATCAGAACAGTGTCTGGCTGTAATACGAGCTGTCAGTATTGGATGCTTGCATTACTGCAAGAGATCAACATTTTGAGCAATACTTTGATTAAGGAAGTAACAATATGAATAAATGCATAAATAAATAAATAATAAATGAGTAAAAAAAATGAAAATGTTTTTGATATTGGACTTCTTTCGAGTAAAGAATACAACTCAAGTAAAAAAATTTGAAAAAGTATTTTGCGATTTTTCTTCAAAATGAAAAACGAACAAATCTTTAAAGGACTTTTTGTCTTAATTTTTCGATCTCCTACACGCTCTCGAAATCTTAATATTTAATTTCAGATCATCTTGTACATAGTAGTAATACACATATACTTACAAGGGAAGTATCGGAAGTGTCCCCCTCTGATTTTAATGAGCTTCGAGTATGTTGAAATATGGACAAAAATAAGAGACACATATTTTTTTTATCTACGTTCTCGAACGTTAAGGGAGTGAAACCATCTCTTCAAGAAAATCGATTTTTTTCTTCCTGAGCAAATATCATCCAAACTGTTAAAGAATGTTATCAAAAAAAGTTTTAAGTAAAAATTTTACACTGCAAGTGTACTTTATAACGACATATTCGAATTTTTTAAAAATGTTATATTTTTTAATCTTCTCCATTCCCTTTCCATAATTTAAAAAATTTTTAAATTTTTTAAGGACATGAATTCAAGAGCTTTTTATGCTGAATACAACGGTATATAATAAAGTTATTTTCCGAAATCGCATTTTTGGGAAATAAGCGAGAAATCTCTATATACGCACTCCGTACGTATTCATCTCATATCGCGTTGGATGCGCGAATTAAAGGTGAATATGATGCAGTTTGTCAGTACTGTATCAGTGCTACAATAATTAACAATAATTATTGAAATAAGAGCTTTTTTATAACAATAATAATAATGAGAATAGTAATAATAGTAATAATGATAGCAGGTTTTGTTAAACAGAAGTCAAATATTTTGATTTATTAGAAAACGTACGAAGCACTTTGGATATTTAAAAACAAGTTACAAATAAAGAAATGATTATAAGATATGACTTATTTAATTTTATATAATATGGTTTATTTAATTTTGTCGTATAGCAACTATCGCAATGCTTACGATACTATTGCAATGTTATGAATATATTTTATTGATCAACATTTATGTTTCGTGTCGTAATGTTTTATTATCGCAACGTAAGAAATATATTTGCTAAGGCATAAGCTTTATTTGCAAATATTATTTACATGAGCATTGTTTGCATGAACATTAGTATAAAAGAATGCAACGAATTCACAGTTTTATAATTAATTTCATTCTCTAAAGTATTATCAATTGATACAAGTAAGAGATACGAGTTTAATAAATGAATATGTACTAAAAAAAAGTTATGGAAGTTTTCATTACTGTTTATATTTTCATATATTTTTTATTTTATAAATTCTTTAAGTTGAAATTATAGTTATTTATTTTAATTAACTTAAGAAACTTTTAATCAACAATTTATTAATTTTAATAATATTTTTTAAAGATTTTTATAGATAGATGTAGTAATACATAATCTATATATCATACAAGATTATTCATTCTTCTTGTTCAACAAATTTTTTGTAAAATAATCAGTTATTACAAAGATACATTAAATTCATTATAATTAGCTATTTAAATAAATAATTATTTAAATAATTAACATAAAATGGAAGAGGAAGAATAATTGGATTTTTAAATCGCATTTGATATATCAGATGCAGAAAAAAATAGAACTCATCGACGAAGAAAATTACGCATACAATATAAAAAAATGTTATGTCGATAATACCTCGGTAAAATATATAAAGAAAAGCAGTTGAATTTTGAAAAAGTAAGACAAATTCAAGAACAATTGAAAGAGTGAAACAAAGATTTCGAAATTTTTTATCAAAATTTCACCCGATGCTTATGTAAACAATATATGCAAATAAAACTACATCTTCACAAATCTATTTCTTGCGTAGATTTGCGATAATAAAATATTATGAAATATAAATGTTGATCAATAAAATATATTCATAACATTATTAATAGCTACCGTAAGCACTGCAATAGCTGCCGTACGACCAAAATTAAATAAACGATATTTTATAAAAATAATTATTTCTTTATTTATAACTTGTTTTTAATTGTCGACTGTATTTTAAGAAAAATTGCTGAAGAAGGCTCCGCAAAGCCAAAATGGAAAAAAATATCAAATTTATATTGAAAGTAACTCTGCTAATTTATTTTTTTATTTATTTTTTATTTATATTATTTTTATTTATTTTATTTATTTTTTATTTATTTAGTTATTTTTACAATAAATATTGTTTATTCAAATTTATTTTTATCACGTCACTTTGGTTTCGCTTGTTCGCTGGGCTCTCTTTCCTCTTGTTGTTAATTTCTGTCCTCTTTGTTAATTTATACGTGCTGTCTGATACAATTTTGCTCTGATGATGATTATTATTATAACAAAAAGTATTTGAAAAGTATAAAAAAGTATTAAAAATCTCTTATTTCAATAATTATTGTTGTACTGATATTGTAGTGACGAACTGTCATATTCACTTTTAACATTATCCCGTGCAGCCAACGCGAATATGAGACGAATACAAATGGTGCGGGTATATAAAGCTTTTTCTCGCTTATTTCCCAAAAATGCAATTTCGGAAAATGACTTTATTATATATCGTTGTATTTAGTATAAAATGCTCTTGAATTCATGTCCTTATAAAAATTAAAAAATTTTTTAAAATTAGGGGAAGGGGATGGAGAGGCTCGAAAATGTAACATTTTTGAAAAATTCAAGTACGTCATTGTAAAGTGCATTTGCAGTCGTAAAACTTTTGTTTAAAACTTTTTTTGATATCTTTAACGATTTGGACGATATTTACTCAGGAAGAAAAAAAACTAATTTTTAACTAATTTTTAAGGGGTGGTTTCATCCCCTTAACGTTCGAGAACGCAGATATAAAAAAATATGTGTCTCTTATTTTTGTCCATATTTTAATATTCGAAGCTCATTAAAATCGGGGGGACACTCCGATTAATTGTAAATATATTTCATGTATATGTAAAACATTAAGTTATCTTTAAAATAAGCTCTTTAAAAAAATAATTTGAAAAATGGCTTATTTAAAACAGCAAATTAAAAGTAAAAAGATACTCTGAAAAAAGAAAGTGTAACAACTTCATTTTGAATGTATAACGTACCGAAAACGTCCAGTCTGTAATTTAACGTAACCAATATTACATTTTTCCGAACAATGTAATCAGGACCATAAATGGTTGCATCACCGGAACCCATATTAAAACCTCCTCCGTGTATCCATACCATAACCGGACGTTTTTCCTTAATATCTATAGTATATACGTTTAGATAGAGACAATCTTCATTTCCAATTACTTCACGTGTTAGTAGATCTAATTGAAAAGCGACGTTTCCATATTTTGAAGCATCTCTGTTGCCGGACCATCTTTCCGGTGGTAGCGGATCCTGTACAGATAAACTTTGTCTTTATTTGAAATTATATTTGTCACAATATTTTTTTCGTAACAAGAACGTGTGTGATTATAATGTGTTTTAAATTTTAACTTTGTAATTTGATCTATGATTAATCTGTAAATAGAATATAAAAAAACTTGAGGAATTTTCATATAAATAACTAACACATATTGCTGCTCTTGAAAAAAATTCTGATTCAGTTCTTGAGGAAAACTTTTCATTTTGAATATTACAATTGGTTATTAAGTTTTTTTCGATTTATACTTACGTCAATGGAGAGTAACTATTAAAAGCAAAGTTCACAATCGCACGTAAATAAAACTCTTAAATTAAGAGATATGCTTACAGTCTGAATACAGTTGAATATCTTTAACGATGCAATTTTGAAAAAAAGTTTCAGATAAAAATTGTAAGATTTTGAGAGGACTATATGATTATGCTATTTATTTTAGAGCCACTGACGAGATTTTTTTATGGTTGGTTTTTTTTAATGGAATTATATATTTTTTGTTGCGCAATATAATTTTTCTAATTAATTTTGGATATATTAGGTGTACAAAAAAGTTCTGAGCTTTTTCTTGTAAAATTTAATCTTTATTCAAAAACAAACAAAAAAATATTAATCAGCGAAATATTCCCTGTTTGCATCAACGACCTTTTGCTATCTTTCGGGTAGCTTGCGAATTCCTTGACGATAAAAAGCTCACCGGCTTCGAAGCGATAAAGTCTTCAATGCATTTTCGTATCTCACGAAATGTGTATCAAATGATGCTGCAGCGACCGGAATAGGTAGTAATCGGAAGGCGCCATGTCTGGACTATACGCCGCGTGCGGGAGAAGTTCCCAGCCTAACGCAAAGATATGGTCCTGAGTCGCTTTCGCAACATGTGGTCGAGCATTGTCATGAAGCAAGATCACTTTACGACGTCCTTGGCCAGTAAATGGCCTCTTTTCTTCTAATGCATCACTCAAATTGGTCAATTGTTGTTGGTAGCGGTCTGCCGTGATTGTTTCACCCGGTTGTAACAACTCGTAATACAACACACCTTTCCAATCCTACTAGATACAGAGCAAAACTTTCTTGGATATTGGGCTTTGGCGTCGATGTCGAAGGTTAACCAGGGTCAATCCATGATTTTCTACGTTTAGGGTTATCATAAAGAATCCACTTTTCATCGCCTGTAGTGATTTTGTGCAGAAAATCTTTTTTCCGGAACTTTGAAAGCAAAGTGAGTGCAATGTCACGCCGACGATTTTTGTTGTCTTCGGACAATTCATGCGGAACTCATCTGCCTTCCTTCTGAATCTTTCCCATCGTATGTAAACGTACGGAAATGATTTGCTACGTAACGCCAAGCTGTTCTGCAAGCTCCTTTTCAGTTTGCACAGAGTTTATATCCAGCAGTGCTTGCAATTCGTCCGTTTCAATCTTTTGAGGGCGTCCAGCACGCGGTTCATCTTCAAGACTGAAATCTCCTTTCGAAATTTTTGATACCATCTTTTACATGTAGTATGACTTATAGTGTTCTCTCCATATGCAGCACAAATCATTGCAGTGGCTTCAGCAGCATTTTTCTTCAGATGAAACGTGAAGTGGATGGAAAATCAAATATGCTCTTTTGTTATTGCCATCGTGAACACTGATTTTTGAGGTTATGTGCATCAAACGCCAAACCGTATGGCATTTTAGAAGGCCAAATGTCAACGCTTTAAAACCGCAAAAAGGCGGGAAAATAAAATTTAAATTGTTATTTCGGTTGTATGAAATCTAAAGCTCAGAACTTTTTTGTACACCTAATAAAAGTATTAATATACAAATATCCAAAAATCAATGATTTATAAGATATTTTATTTTGGCATATTCTGATATAATATAAAATATCTCATAAATTATTAATTTTTTGGTAACTGTTCTTTAATATTTGTATACATAGAATAATGTGATAGATTAATTCATATAGAAAAAGAATTTAGTTGTCTCAAAAAAATACTTACATATTATTAACTGCATAATTCTTTTAAAGCAACTATCTTTTTTATCAATTGATTTGTTTCATTATTTTATATATACAATTATTACGATTATTGAGAAATGAATAGTTTATGAAATATTTTATATTTTATGTCAAAATATGCCAAAATAACGTATAAAATATCTTGAAGAATATTGACCTTTTGACATTTGTACCTTAATACTTTTATATCCAGAATAATTAGAGGAATAACTAGAGGAATCGTATTGCATAATAAAAAATATATGACGCTGTTTTCATTCAAATTTCATTTGAAAATTGGAGATTTTAAAAAAATCTCGACAATGGCTCCACCTGTAAACAATCAATATCATAATCACGTAGTCCCCTCGAAACCTTACAATTTTTGTCTGAGACTTTTTTTAAAAAATTGTATTTTTTTATGAGATATTCGACTGAGATATCCAGATTTTTGTCGTACTTTGTATTTAATTAGATACATTAATATATTATCTTTTCATGAGAGATGATTCTTTAGCGATGATTCATAAAAATGCAATGTTTAAATATCCGAAAATTACGAAAATTTTATATAATATTCACACAATTTTTTTCTCACGTATTCCGTGCGTCTTTGAAATTGTGTGAAACATGGAAAAATCGTAAGCAGTAGAACTTAAGCAATAAACGAATCGATCAGTTGAATATTCTCTAGAATAGTAGATTAGCTTGGAAAGAATGCTCGACTGTGATTGATGGATTCGCTTAAGTTTTACTGTTCACTTTTTTGTTTTTATATTTCACTTACATGACTTGTATAACAAAAAGATTAATTTATGGTAAGGAACAAGTGATAATCTACTGGAGCTTTTTCATCGTATTAAATATTAATAGAATTGATTATTTTTTTATTTTGAAATTTTAGATATCCGCAAATGCAGCTTATTGATTGAAAATGTCAAAACAAAAAATATTAATGTATTACATCTCTAAGAAATTATTTAATAAAATAACAATAATAAAATTTTAGAAAATATGAAAGCTTTTTTAATACTTTTAAATTTGATATCTTAAATTAATTTTAATAATTTAAAATTCAAACTATAAATTATGAAAAAATCGATAGCAATTATAAATTTTAATTTTTGACAATAGAATTAAATTTCAAATTTAATTTTCATTCTACATTTATTTACAAAATTATGTTTAAACAATATCATGCAAATTAAATACCTGAAACAGTGAATATGTATATTTGTGTAATCTGTTAATATTAAAAGTAGAATAATAATCTTCGATAAGATAAGCAATAGCTATTTTGTTATCAGTGTTGTTTAATTATAATTTTTTAAATTAACATTTTTATTTCTCGATTCAAAGTCTAAAAACCGATTAGGAGAAGTAAACTACTAGTCAGTTAATATATTAAAGTGAAATGATTTGACTGTATGTGTTTATGATAATGGAATGTTATTTACCTTGAATCTGAGTTCGCCAACTGGCGGTTTCGCATACGGTACTCCTCGAAAGGCGACGTAATGGCCGCCATGGATATTTTCTTCAATTACACCGATTAATTTTCCCTCATGCACATGTACATCTACTCGATTGTTATCCATGGTGGAAGAATGACGAGAGGACATTAATGAATCTGCCAGTCTGCCTTGTGCAAATATGCATGTCGAAACACGATTATATAACTGCGCATATACACGTCCAACTGACTGTTGGAGCATTGTGCAATGACTGGCTCTTCTCAGAATGAGTGGGGATTAAACATAAGAGAGCTGTTGACTCGTTCTTACGGTATCATTAAAGCCTACCGAATGATTCAAGGTTCAATAGCGATGTTGTTTTACAAATGTACAGTTACGTATGCAATATCTTATTGCAGAGGTAGGCAACGCGATAAACAATGTTTTTCATTTTTTAAAATTAAAATTACAAATAAATTAACATAAAAATTATATATATGTGTGCATATATGCATATGCCCCCCCCCCTCCTACACATATTTTTGGAAAATTTTCGAACATTTGCTTCTTTGAATGACATTATGTATATAAGATGTTTTTTTAAACATTGTTTATTCCTAACTTATTTTTATACTTTCTAAAGTTTTTTTTAATATTTGCGATTCACAGAAGAAATGCACGACTGATCACAAGGATAATCAATTGAGATTGCATCAAGCAGGTGTAAAAGTTTTTTGTATTTTGTTTTAGATGTAAAAGTTTTTTGTATTTTGTTTTAGATTAATAATATATTTTCTTAAATTTACTATCTTGGATCAATTTATGTTGATATATCTCGAAGTAAATATGTGAAAGTTTTTGTATAAGTTTGAATCAGTAGAGGAAAATCGTTGATGTTGATATAGGTCTTTTAAAGAAACACTCTCTTATTTATCAGAATTCAAAGATTGCATTTTATCAATATTGATAAAAACCTGATCTGATTAAAGAAATAAAAATTTACAATTCATACATTTCTGACTTATTTTTAAAATAAAATCAGTTGAAAACAAATTTCTCAAATGCAAAAATAAAACTTTATAATTTTCTTTTGCAAATTGCGTAGTTTAAATAATATAATAATATAGCGTAAACCGATATCTAGCTGTCGGTAAAATAGATATTACAAAACATGATAACTTCTTCACATATAGCAGCATATGTGCACAGATAAAAAACGTGTTATCAGTGTATAATGTAGCACATCTGAAAAAAATTAATTTATTCTTTTACAATTTGTATAAAACTTGGTATCTTGATATGATTTTTGAAGTCGCTGAATATAATATCAGAATTTCAAAATTCAAAATGGTGAATCCAGTATGGTGGATCATAATTTGAAAAAATAATTGCAGTTTTTAAAAAATGAGTATTCCAAAATTGTTTATTTTAATCAAAATATATTAGAATTTTATTATTCTAAATGGCAGATCAAATTTTGCTAAAAAGAATCACTTGAAAATAATAATTCATTTAAATTTTATCAAAAATATTGTATTAATATAAAGCAATCGTTTATAAATTCCTCTCTCGACTGTCGAAATCAGAGTCGCAAAACGAGAACGTGTAAGTTTTGACTACACGTTTGTTTTTATTCTTTTTATTTAAAAATTTTTTTGCGCTTACCGTATCACGTACCGTACGCCTTCATTTCTTTATCATTTGTTTATTTATTTTTATTTATTATTTGAAGTTTTACATTGTTGTTTACAAAACAATTTTTATTATTAGTTTTATTATTTTTATTATTTTTATTCTTAGTTTGATGTATTTTACACATTTTTGGCTTAACACAGCTTGCGTTAAACACCCTACTATATTTTTATTTCAAATTATTCTAGATTATTATTTCATCTTAGAACTGTATGTATATACAATGTATATAAAAATTTAATTTTTGATATTGACTTTTGATATTCAGTATAAGATTTTGATTCAGCGAGCTTAGAATTTTTTAAATGTCAATTTCAGCCTTTTTTTCAATTTCAATCCGTTATTTTAGATCCGCCATTTTGAATTTTTAATTCTGACATATTCAGATACATTCAGACATCATTCGGATTTAGCGCTTTTGAAATTCTTAGAATTATCATTTTTATAAAAGTTCAATTATTTTTCTAAATTTCCGCCGTATTAAATCTGCCATTTTGAATTTTGAAATTTTGATATCATATTCAGCGATCTCAAAAATCTTAATAATAAAAATAATAATGAAATCGTATCAAAATCTAAGAAATTTTCTTTTCATACAGTGATAGCGAAAATCTTATTTTCGTCATATTACGAATAGATTAACCTAAATAATTTTATGGTTACACTATTGTGTCCTACGAAACAACAAAAAGAAAAATAAATATAATTTATTAATTTACTTAATTATTAATTCTTTCAAATACGGGGCCACATCTGAATTCTGGCATCATTGCCTATTATATCGCTTTTGGACTCAATTTTTCAGATTTTTTTCCAATTTTTGTTATCTTACGAAAAAATTAATTATTGCAAAATACAAGACAATATTATAAAAATTGCTATATTATCTGATAAAAGACATTTTCTGGTTTATTTTATTTTTGTTTCTAAAACTTTCGTATTTAGCTTTTGTTTGTAAGAAATGTAGTCCAAAAACAAAGTTTCGATGACAGTTTTCTCTACTTCTCTTGATATATCACTGATTTAGAAATATTTTTGATGATATTTTTGTTAATAAACAATAGATCATAGACTGAATCGAGTAAAGCGAGCTATTTGTGTTCATAAAACTAAACTTTCTATTTACAATATTTTAAAGAAATTCAAAATTTCTCGATTCAATATTTGATGCTGTATATCGATATCGCAGGACAGGATATTAAATTATGACAGAAAATGGAATGATAAGCACCGTGAAACATTGAAAGCTGACGATTAATTATTTCACAAAACAGAAAGATTGGAAAATCATGGCATGAAACAAATAGATTTTAATAGAAGTCACAATAAAGCTACTTAGCTAACGCTAAGTTATATGTAATATAAATGATAATCATAATTTTCCACTTAACAATGTGTTACATAACAATTACATTGTTACATTGTTGAGTAGGACATTACAACTAACTAAATTTATATTACATGCCACTTTTGCTGTTTGGTGGATATTTTTAAAACAATGGAATAATAGATGACATCGCTCGATAGATAGGATCTTACGTGTCTTATAAGTTTTTATTTTTCTTAAGTGAATTTATATCTATAAATTCAGAACAATTGCTTAATATCGCGAACTATTAATTGCTATTATTATTATACACTTCCAATGTAACAGCTCAAAGCTATATTCTTAAATTTATTTTCGATCAAATATGAAAATCGATTACATCCTATTTTTCTTATTATAGTGAAACGAATGACCATCGCTGATTTATTTAAAGTTGCTATATAATTCTTACTGTAAACTATAAATAAATAAAATATACGAGTATATAAAAATATACATAAATAACAAAATAATAAAATATGTATAATAAACCAAATATATAAATAACAAAATATGTATAACAAATAAAAAAATATAAAAATTGAACTGTAAAAGATTTTGAAAAATTTTCTTGAAAGAAATTTTTTTGAAAGATTTTCTGAACTGTTGAATGAAAATTTGAAATTTTGGATAGCAAAAGAAGATAATTTGTGTGTTGACTTTAAAGAAGATAATGCCTATTTACATTACATTTATAACTAAATACATCGGTGATTCAGTACGATATGAGGAAATTTTTCATTTAATTGATTGATCCAGTTTATATAGAATTTGCAAGTACTGAATAAAAAAATGTATATCATATTAAATATATGTTATATTCTTGTCAGATAGTTCTTGCAGAAGAAAATATTTGATAGACTAAGAGTTTGTTATGCAGCAAGATAAGAATCTAAGCGTACTTTTAAACGTTATAAAATTTATGTGAAAAAAACTTTGTAAAATTTATAGAAAAAAATAAGCACAAGGGAAAATTAAAAATCAATAACTTCCACACTTACCAAATCATCAACTCCATTGAATTGTTGTAAGAAAAGCTGGATTGAGATATGAGAAAAGAACATGATTTCAATTTCCAAAGAAAATCTTTAAAATATTTTAAAAATAACTTGAAAACAATTAATTTATGAAATTAAAACTAGTGAATGGGAAGTTAAGAATAATAAAAAATGTTATCCAAAATCAAAGCCAAAATTGGATTCTTTGATGAAAAAAAAGTATAATATGTATAAAAGATACATTAATAATATAACATTAGTAATATAAGTTTTATATATAATATAAGTTATATATAATATAATAATATAAGTTTTATATTACTAACATATTTTTTATTTATTTAGTTTGTATATCAATATATATCAATAAAATATTGTTTTCTTTTTTATTGTTAGCAACAAATGTTGTTATTATTTTTTATTCACTGTATTCCCGAGTGTCCGGAAACTTTCCCCCCGGCAATGTACATAAATAACTATGTTTCAGCAAAAAAACTGACAAATATCAGTTAATTTTAAATAGATTTGTAATTATTCTTTTTATTGTTTTTTTTTTATTTTATGAAGCATTTTTATTATTATCTAACTTCAGTATATTTTTTAATATTTTTTAATATTGTTTATGAAAATAATATATAAGTAAAGTCAAAACATGAATATAATAATTTTTTCTTTTATAATTTTATTTATATAAAAGCAAATAACGTTTGGAGGTTTAATACCTTTATAAAGATATATTGAAAGAAAAATTAAACATTAATATATAGGCAAGATTTTAACATATAGATTATAACTTGTTTTTATTTTTTCCCCAATCCCATCGTTCTTTTCCTTTATGAAAAACTTTCATTCGTAAATCTACATCAATGTTTAAATAATTAAAGTTTTCGTCTTGTGGTCCTGTTAATGGTAACCATAAATTTGTAATAGGCGTTGGATTTCTAAAAATTACAGTTTAAATTAATTATTAATACATGATTGTAAGATATAATAAAGAAAAAGAATATAAAATAAAGAAAAATATTTTTGTACCCTGTTTTAGCGAAATCCGTCCACATTTGTGTTAAATAATTTATAATTTTATAATCGTCTGAATCAGATCTGGGTAGCGATAAGTTAAATTCTTTTCTAATTTCTGGACAAAATAGGAAAAATAAGTCCTCTGCGTGGCAAACACCTGTATAAATATCGTTATAAATTAATCTTAAAAATACGGGCAATTTTCTGTATCAAGTTTTTTTAAATTTTTAAATATTTCTAAGTATTTCTAAATATAAAAAAAAACAATTTAAAAAATCTTCAAAAATCAGATCAGAAAGAACATTACTCAATGGATTAGAAGTGTAATAATCTTTTATTATTGAATTTATATCTATAAATTTAAAATGATTGCTTTATGTTATCACGTGCTTTTACAGACTTGAAACGCGGCAGGTTAATGTTAAAGTTAAATTTATTCTTTTTTAATAATAAATAATTTGTTTTATTTAATAAAGCAGAATATTCAATAAGATATTTTAAACAAAATTTAATTTGATTTTTAATAATTGTGCATGAAAATTTGAAGATATAACTGGATTGTAGAAATGTATTTTTATGTATATATGTGCCTGCTTCTTAATATAAAAAATTTTATACAAAATATTGTAAACTATTTGGCATACCTGGAAGGCGTATATTTAATATGGTTTTCATAAGAGAAGTTTCGCTGTTGTAATCGAAATGATACAAATATGTCGATTTGTAATCACCAGTATATTTTTGTATTTCAGCTACCTCCAGTATGCCGCGTGTAAAAAATTCATCACCTAAGAAATTCGCATAATTCATCAGAGTTTCCTCTGACACTTCTTTTTCTCCGAAATATAAGGATTTTAATTCTTCGACTGTGATTCCTATTTCAGGTAGCTTGGATAATACATTTGGTAATATCGCTTTTTTAAAATCAGCATTTACTTGTTCCAGACTTTTCTTGTCTATGGCTGAAATGAGGTTAAATATATTGATTATTTTAGGATATTATTCACATCTTAAATGTGAATAATATTTGCACTTTTATAAAAAATAACTAATTTTACAAAAATCATACATAAATTCGCGAAGATATTAATTTCTAAATTATTACAATAAATTTTTCTATTTTTAATATGATCTGTTAAAAATATGTATGTAATATGTGTATGTAATATCATATATCATAATTCTATGAAAATAAGTAATATGTATGTATATCTTAAATATTTTGTGTAATAGACAATAAGATTAAAAAAGAAGGACTCCTTTAATTTAAAAAAAAGAAAATGATAATAAGGGCAATGGGAATCAAGTGTATTGAGTCTGTGTTGGGCAGAGGCCCTCGAGATATTGCACTATTGCGTATTGATGCGAAGAAGTTATGAACTAATACAATCTCAAACCATTCTTATCATGCATATATGTATCTATTAAGGATAATTCGAAAATGGATCGAAACGTTTGTTGTTGGAATGTAAGAAGAACCTAAAATACAGATAGGATTTAATGGATAATTATTTGCGCCTCATTTACTGCGCTTGACTCCCATTACCCTTATTATTATTTTTATTTGTGTAATAAATTTGGAACAAATACTATTATAAAATATTAATATTTTTTTGAAACAAAATAATTATTTTACATGCATTATTA